GACACCTGGGCCAGCTCCTCATCCTCGGCGTCCCAATCGTCGAGCTGCGACCTCTCCGTGGTCAGCCAGCTCTCCATACGATCTGGGGTGTATTCCTCTGGAGGAATACAGTCGTCCACTTTAATTCGTAAACGACTTGAATTGAGAAGCGAATACGAAATGAAAATGCGTTGTCGCATCTGATGACTTTAATCTCGGACTTGACTTTGTTTGGGCGGAATAATGGAACTGGAACAATGGTGGGAAAAATGGCGGAAGAAGGAGTTTGGAGGCGGGATATATAGGGTATGCTAGGGGAAAAGGTGGAAAGAGAACGAACGAGGAATAAAAAGAGAAGAAAGAAGAAAAGTGGCGGGTCTCCATGAATAAATCATGAAAAGAAGAATTAGTAGAGTTGGAAAAAATACAATACAATATAATGATGTTTTTTATTTGTAAAAAAAATATTTAAGCGGCTAAGATGGCATTTTCATTTTTGGAAAATTCCAACAGGATTTAAGCCTATATTTTACATATATTTTCAAAACACGCTATTGTGCTGTTTTAAATGATAAAATGAGAAATGGAGATCACCACAAATATTATCGTTTATTGAATAAGTTTGGCTGACGCAACCATCTGGAATGAAATTGAAATATATTTTTGGATATTAGATGTAGAAAAACAGTATGGAAATTTTGATAAGACTGGAATGGTTGTGATCAACGATTAATCGCCCTCCAAGGCTTTGTTTTTTTTATACTTCTTCGATACTCCATGAAAGTATTATTGAAATACAGGTACAAGTAACTAATAAAAGAAGCTGGTCTGCATGCAGAAGTAGACCTCAAAGACCTATCAGGGACCTCAAAGTATCCTCTGATAATTCCAAAATAGTTTTATATATGGATAATAATCTCTCTTGTTCCTCGAGTATTGATTGAGCAAAACGACCGTACTCCGGCAGTGCATCAACGATTGCATTGATTGTCCTTCCGATTGCCTTCTTCTCATCACCCCCTTCATATTCTGTAAGAAAATTCAATGGTTGAAGCAACGCCAGTATTTTGAAGGCTTCATGGGAAGTTCAATTTCAATATGTAAGAGTTTAGGTAAGTCCACTTTTATTTGTGAAAAATCATGAAATGAAATTTTAAGCCTGAAAATCCAGGAAACAAAATCCCGGAAAATTATGTCAACGATATGGCATTTTTTACCAATGAAATGACATGGTGGAGACATCCATGTTCTATTTCTGTTACAATTCAACAAATGTATTCAACAAATATCACGTATTACACTTAAGTAAATTATCCCAATACCAAGAATGATAATCTAATATTTCGTAAATATTAGGTGAAAATAATATTGTGTTAAACCAATATTATATTGAAGTGAACTTTACCATAAAAGGTTGAATTTACTGATGAACACAGGATTGGATGATCTGGTCCCCATCCACCCAATAGTTCGGTAAATCTATCTGCGAAGTCCTCATATTCGAGTAGAGATTCGTTAATTGCATATCCATCAACTCTGAACTGTGTCAGTCTTTCTTTCGTCCTTGTTTGTTCGGACATAATGTTTCGTAGCTCCCTATTTTGATCCTGCAAGATACGATGGATATTTGTAAGGTCCTCGTGGAGACTTTCCCAAAAATTTCCTGCATAAATTAAGACCAATAAATACATTCTGAAATATTGTCATCTCTTCGTATAAGTGATTTTTTTTCGTTCATACTCACATTCAACACCTGCAAAGTATGCTAATTAAAATGGTGTCCATGTGCTTAACCTCTAAAAGTACTATTTTCTCACTAAGTAATTTCAGTATGTCTTTTTTGCATCAATTGTAATTTATTTCCAAGTTTCATTACTATTTCAAATTCCGTAGAATTATTTCCATTAAATTATCATTTATTTTAAAATCTTTATGCCGAGGAATCGCAAAAAAAACACCCGAACGGTGCCGAATACACACTCAAGTTAAATTAATTGTTAACCATTTTTATTACCACTCTGGTCGACTTCCTCTCCTCCTTTACTCATTTTTATTGGTTTATTTGTGTCTTCGTCCTTACTACAGCCTCCCGTTTGAGTTTTAATCCAAAGAATCTGATAAAAACGATACCAACACGTTATGAATTGCACGCCGACAAATATCAGTAGCAACCATCAACACATCCAACAGCGGCGCTATATCGTTAGTGGCTCGCGATTGGTGGTTTTCAATAGGAATTGGAATTTGAAATGGCAAACAATGTAATTTTCCAGTATTGTTGCGGAAATTGCAATTTGCTGGGATTTTATGCTGGCATTTCACCCGTTATTCATATTTTTGCTGACTTTTTTATACAAAAAATTAGGTACCTGTCTCTCCACCCACAAAACCGCATATTTAACCAAAACTCATTATTCATCTGAAAGATATTGCATAAGACGTGTTTTTCACACAAAGTGGGATATTTACTGGAAGTTATAGTGGTAATTATATATAAGTGGGAATTATATAAACGATAAGACACAGACGTTATTTATCGGTTCCGGTATAATGTTGCAAATAACCGGAAACGCACTTCAATACATTTTTCGTTTCATATATTAAAAACAGTTCTGAAATATTTATTATAATTCCAAAAATCGCCATCTTCCCATCCGAAGAGCTTCACGAATCTCTTGATGCATGAGGTTGTTCTTTGTTTATTTCTTTCACCATTTTATTAATATTTGTTAATATTAGAGAGTGCCGGCGGGCAGCAACTTTAATCTCCTCCGTGTTGTCCATCACCCTGGCAAGCTTCTTGTTGTGTGAATCCATTTCTAAGTGGATTTGATGAATAACACCTCGTACATCATGACGTTTTTCTAGTACCACAATGCCAACAAATGAAATATTCAATTACAAAATAATCACAGTTTTTTCATGACACACATCGCATCCAATTAAATAAGTATATTC